TATTCATTTTCCACACAACTTTCCCGTTTTCCGTTAGTCTCCATTTTTCAAATCAACCATAATCACACAAGGAAACAAACATGCATAAGGGAATATAATTATATCTCAATTTTTTAACTAAACGGTGATCACGTAAGACAACAATACATCATTCAAATAATAAAATTGATAAATCAAATACTATCATATTTTTAAACTGTAATATAAATCAACAGAAATCAACAGAAAATAATTTTTGGTTTTGACTTCATTAGCAATCCATAATTAATTATGCACATTTACTAAATTCGCACAAAAAATTATATTATTATTTATTTAAACTTCAATTCTATGAGAGAAAATAGGGTGAGGGATCCTTACTCGATTTGATGTCCGAAAAGCTAAGCTATTCGACTGCGCCTACCAGTGATTTTTGGGTTCCCTGAATTTTTATTCGGGAATTAAAACGCGCTAATAATACCTACAAATGTTTCAAATAAACTCAAAATCAGTCATGAGGCCCACTTGACCAATTTCGAATTTCCAGGACGGCGGCTCTGTCGTGCTCCGGTGACGCCGCCACCACCTGTGATGGTGGTCCGCCTCGGTTCGGCTATTTTCGATTAATTCTACATCGATCCCTGTGAGAAAATACGTTAAAGGGCCTCGGTTGGCCGAACAAACACAAAAAAATCGAAACTCACCGGTGGCGGGGCTTTCCGGTACGACAGCTCCTTCGACTCACGTTGTGGTCGGGTATTTTGCTCCGGTCAACCTGTAGAGAAGGACGTGATGATCACAACGGTGGAAAAATTATACAGAATGAGAATTGAGAAAGGCCTCATCGGAGGCGTTTTGTGAAATTTCCCAAAGTGGCGGCGCCGGGCTTCATGGTATTTTATAGCCAATTGGCCAGTCTTTTTGCTTCGGTGCGGCGGTGGGTGGCGGCAGTGTCCTTCCAGCGGCGGTGTCCTTCTGACAGCCAGGTCTTCTTCTCCGACGAGGGGGTCTAGCAGCTAAGGTTAGGTTTGGTGTGGATGATGGTTATTTATATCCGTCCGCTTTTGATCTGGGCTGTCCATTTCGTTTGATATGGACCGTCCAATCGCGATTAAATATAGAGTGAATCTGGACCGTTCATCGCGATCCAATCTGGGTCGTCCATCGCGATCCACTCTGGGCCATCCGATCGCTTTCAAATTTGACCATCCAATCGCCTTTGAGGAGGGAATGCATCTGGGCCGTCTATGCGTGCAGGAATGGATATGAGTCATTCAATCACGGGCACACAGATCACCCGCATGGCCTCTTGTGTGGCACCGCGTCAACGTCCGCTACCACACGGCGTGTCCTAATTCACCGAGCCTGCTGACCGGGCGTCTGACATGGCGAAACTTTTTTAAATTTTATTTTGACCCTTTTTTTTATTTTTCTTTCAAAAATACCCACAGAACCCAAATTTTCACTCATTTTCCCTCAAAATTATTTTTAGTTTAATCCTCAATCAATCTTACTTTATTTTTACTCTAAATTAAATGAAAAATAAATTATAAAAATTATATTTATAAATTTTAAATTACATACAATCTATGAATCTTCCATATGTATAACTTATCTATAACATACCTTCCAGAGCATCTCCGACATCTGAATGAGATGGAGTTTGTACATTTGGTTCAGGAAAACATGACTGTGTCAGACTATGCTCGCAAGTTTCTAGAGTTAGGCCGATATTCCCCTGAGACATTATTGGATGAAGGCAGGAAGGCTAGAAGGTTCGAGTGGGGTCTTCGCTCAGAGATCAGACAACATTTGTTTGTGCTGGAGCTTAGGACTTATTCAGCTATTCTGGCCAAGGCACAGCTAGTGGAGAGGATCTTTCGCACCTTCTTTCAGGTAGTAAGGAACCTCAGACCCTCAGCTTCATCCCGCAGACCAGCACCTACTGCGCCTGTTCAATAGAACAAGAGGCCCAGGCCGGTGATCTAGACTCCCCCTCAGGCTTCAGTGACAGAACACAGTAAGATCTGTCAGCATTGTGGCAGGGATCATAGGGACCAACCCTGCTATCGCCTCAACAACACATGTCGCATATGTGATAGTGTCCAACATTATGCGAGGAAGTGTCCAAGGAACCAGAATCATGGCAGACCTCTTATTCAGAGCAGAGCTTACAATAGGATGCAGAAGCCAACCCAGACGTGGTATAGGATATGTACACTATCTGTAACTATCTTGCTCATGTTTTAATTGATACTGGTGCATCACATTCAATTGTCTCACCTATTTTTACATTAAAATTTGATGTATTACCTAATAAACTTGATTATGTATTGTTTGTGTCTACTGTTGGAAGTATGACACTATTGGAAAAAGCTGTATACAGAGTCTGTGTCATAGATATAGCAGATAGAAAATTGAGTGTGGACATTATAGAATAAGACACGGGGGACTTTGATGTAATTTTAGAAATGAATTAACTAATGGCGCATCACGCCACAATAGATTCTTTTAGCAAGAATGTTGTATTCAATCCTCCTAATGAGGAGCCATTTACAAATTAATAAAATCGTTTAGCATTTTTTTCCCTCACGATAAATTTTCTTATTATCAAGTACTTTAACCCTGCTGTTTTTTCTAACTAGGCAAACTCAAGAAAGAGATTTGTATTCAAGGTATTCCGGTAGTCTAAGACTTTTCAGATGTATTTTCGGATGAATTATCCGAACTGCCAGTGGATAGAGAAGTCGAATTCA